GTACCGTCCCTTCCTCTCTCTGGTGGAAAACGCTTTGCTTTTGAAATTGGCTTTTTGAATTTTTCTGTGGGATCATTTGGGGAGGGATCCCTCTCCCCGCACCTCCCCTTTTTTATGAGGTTTTTTTTCAGTGCACGGTACTGCAGTTTTCTTGCACCACTCGCTCCAGAGAAATTTCCCGTGATAAGTGGTTTCCCACCGTGCCGTGGAGCAAAAGTGGAATGAAAGGATCCTGGGAACCATTTGCAATCCTGGTTTAATGCAGGGGGTTAGACTCGATGATCTATTGAGGTCCCTTCCGACCCTAACATCTATGAATCTATGGTTTAACTTCAGAGACTTTAACCTGTTTATAATTGGGATGAACCTGATGCACACTTTGCTGTCTGAACAGCGCTCCTCCAGGACACCTGTATCACATTCACCAACCGCTCTGGTCATCTTAACTCTATGCCCAGAGCATCTGCTTTGTGCAACAGGCTTTCAGGAGCGCTCCCTGGCTATCACTCCTAAAAGCACGCTGGACTGGGAGCAGGCAGCATTTGTGGGAAGTCAGGCCTGGGTAGGTCTGTGCTGTATAATGGCCCAGGGGAAGGTGCTGGTGATGAGGTCTTTGCTAACAGACCCAGGACGGGCTGTAAGGACCACAGGACAGCACTCAATACTCTTGTGATGGATAGCAAAATCCAGGCAAACAGACCAAGCAGCAGCCACACGATCCAGCAGCTTTTGGCTGAGAAATACGGAGAACCTGGCAAGCAGCAGAGTCTAAGGCAACAGTTACACCATCCGCCTTCACTGGGCTTTAATTCTCTGAAATAACTAAAGAAAATGGGACTAGAGAGGTGATAATAACTGGATACGAGATGGGAATGACAAAATTACATTAATATCTAGATCGAGAGTCAACAGGACCCATTAAATACTCAGCCTTCGCTCTCCCATGTACTTGCACAACTGCGGCACCATTGTGTGCAGGAGCAGATGAGGCTACAGCATCGCAATCAAAGCTGAGCTACAAACACTGGTTTTCCAGAGGCATCCAATAATTCAGGTAGTTACAGTAAGGAAAAATGAACTTCAGTGAAATGCCTACTCAATGCACCGAGACAGACCCTCTGTCATCGGGCTGCTTTAAGGTAAAGGTCCCAAGCCCGGTCTCTCCTTGCGGTGAAACTACTGTCACAGGCGGTTTCCCCAAAGGAGCCTGCGAGATGAAACACCTTTATACCGCTTTGCAACTGCTGATCTACGCGCACAGCAGCTGAGTCAGAGTGTATGCCCCTACACCTCCTGCAAAGGCTGGCGTGAAGATCCAGCGATGAACGCCGCAGTCCACCGCCAAGCTGGAGGGATTCCCTTCCCCCTCGGCTAACGCCTCTCATACACAGCTCTTGTCGTAACCTAAAAGTCCTAAATCTCCTTGCCAACAAACACCCTTGTTCTGCTGCAGACAGGTAGCCTGAACACCTCAAGTATCAGAATAAATAACAAAAGAAAACACAGGGGTTTTTGCCGTTTCCTTCACAGATTTAATACCATTCTATCTCAACGTCCCCATTAAAATTAGCTCCGTGGTAGGAAATGAATAAATACTCGAACCAACGATTTTTGGATAGCAAATGGGTTAAATTTCCAAATTCCTCCTGAAAAACAACGCACTGCATTCAAAAACTTGGCTAAGTTTATCTCCTCCGTGCAGTTGGTTTAACAAGAGATCGCTTACAAAAATCTTGGCCTCTCACACATTCCCTGGACCATCACACCTACAAGGTCCCTCCAACGCTACCAAATTCCCCCCAGCACCTCCAGCCAGCTGCTGTGTGTCCGGATTGGGCCCCAGACCACCCTCATGCACCAATCCAGCATGTTATTTGGCCCGCAGGCCTCCCCTGGGTCCAGACACTTGGCAGCAGGGGAGCGGCAATTGCTGCTACCATTCCCCCACATTGAAGGGGGATGTTTTAAGGTGGTTGCTCCAGCTGAACTGATTTGTCTGCGCCCCAGAAAGGATCCTACTGATATGCATTGGTAAAGCCCAGGGAGCCAGAGAGACGGCAGAGTCCTAACAGAAATACAGGAGTCAGATATTAGAAGCAGGAGGATAACCACAACCAGCCTTCAGATGTCGGGACTGCTGGAATGAGAGATGATCGGGAAGGCTGCCCAGGACGCGGGCTGGTGGTTAGCATCATTTATTTTGATGCTTGGTTTAAAGTCTGGCAAATCCTATGCAGAGCACGACACAATAAGCTCTCAGCGGCACGAATCTCTGCTTGCGACATTAGTCCCCCGGTGATGTGCAGCTCTGGATCCTCTGGAACAGCAAGCAAGCAGAAGTGGCATTAGGTGGGCTGTGCAACGTTTATACCCTTCCCTTTCTCCTTGTCCAGATAACCACAGCGTTTCCCAATCCAGTCCTTTGTGAAAGCCCTGCGTGCAAAACATCCTGATGCCTTTTCTAGAGGAAGACTTCCTTCTGCGTCACCGCGCCGTTCACAAGCGGGGAATTAAGTTGGGACCTCAATAAAAAAGGTGCCTTTTTGAACTAGGACTCTTGAACAGAAAAGCAATAAAGATTAGCCATACTTGCCATTACCTTTGATGGACGTGCATATATGGAATTGGTTTCACACCAGTTCTTGGTGATCTGCTGTCCATATCCAAGACAGGCAACTATTTTCACCCGCTGAAATTTTCAGCGGAGGGTTTTACCTGAACCCAAAAACCAAAGCAGGTTCTCCAGAGACAAGCCTGCTCTGGAGAGGCTGGATCTTGCACCGCGACTGCTGGACATTGCGGCTAAGCAGCGCCCCAGCCTCCAGCACTGCTTGTGAGCACAGCAGAGCCCAGCATGCAATACGCTGGCGACTGGTACCGAGGATTAATGAACCAGCTTGCCTATTAATGGCACCGTCACACGCCACTAACTGACAGCGAGGGTTAATGAACGAGCTCCTGCATCACCGAGGACTTCCTAATATGACATAGCATTTCACAATTAAAGAAGGGGCGATTACCCCTGAAGACATCCGTAAATTGGCCGGGGACATTGGCATTCCAATTACAGCGGGCTCCACGGCACCCAGCAGCCTTTTAATTGTTCGCAGTCGGCTCACAAACAAATAGGCGCTGCAAGTGTTTACTTCCGCTCCTGTAACATTTACTTAGGGCCTTCCGTAACAGCTCCACCAACTGCAAGCAGGAATCAGTCCCAGGGCTTACTTCCACGGAGCAGGTGGCACAGGAGCTTTCCGATGTGATTGCTCACCGAGCAGGGCCACCCATCCCGAGGCCCGGAGGGAGTCAGACACGCTACGAGCCGAGTAATACGGGGCCATCCTGAGAGCTCCTGAGCTCTGTCAGCTTCCCTGAAGTCAAGGCAAGATTTTCATCATGTACATCATCACAGAGTTAGACTTGGCAGGACTTTTCCACCTGCTCCCCAAGCCGCACGCACGGGCTGGGGCTGGGGCTGGAGCCGAGAGCAGCATGCTGGAGAACGGATCCGTGGCCTGTGGTAGTGAAGCAGCCGGGCAGGGCAGTCCTGCGGGGACAGGTGCTAGCAGCGGTGCATCAGGACAGTTGACACCAACGTCCGCTTCGCCGGCTCCGTTACCAACAACTGCACGTGGATCTAAATCACCTGTAGGAAAAGTGGCAGCAAAGCAAGTGCATGGGGACTGTGTTTCCAAGTGGCTTTCGAGCTTCAATCAATGCAATCATCATTCCCAAGCATTTAGACTGGTGGCTCTCAACCTTTGCAGACTTGATGCACCTCTTGTCAGACTGGAGGGCCCCTCCATAACTGTTGTGAATTAGACAGCACCCCATTTCAGCAATGAATGTATTTATTACAGGGCTCACCTCCTTGCAGAGGAGCCAGGCAGGGAGAGCCTGAGCCTGAGCCTGCCCTTCACAGCTGACGCCTGGGCCCAGCTTTATCCGCGCCCCGGTAGAGAATCACCGACTTAGACGGACACCGCCCTGACTCGCGTGGCGAGATCCAGAGACATGCTGTGAGCCTAGGTGCCACTCTGCTACATATTGATGCAATGCTTCTCCATCACACGTTTGGACTGAAAAATCTTTGGGACCAGGCTTTAGGTTTCATTTGTGCAGTGCCAAGAAAACAGTAGCTCAGGTTCCTACTGCAATCACACCAAGCGCACTCCATCATTCAAGGGCTTGTCTTTAAAAGAAGCTGTCTCTTCATGCATCTGGAACAGGCAATCTTTCATTTTAGCTCAAGGGCCTGAAAGCGGCACAGTGATCAGTCAGTACAGTTGGGAGTCGTCGCAGCCAGTCGATGGAGCCAGGGACCGTCTACACAAGGGGAAGCACGCAGGTTGCTATTGTGCTTAGCTCCATGCTGGACCCTTGTGGCAGTATTGCTTTTCCTGTACATTTACTAATGGCTGATTTCCTTTAACCCAGATGAAGTTTGTTAGGCATGGTTAATTCTGGGTTTTAAAATACATTTCAGTGCAATTTCATTGCCCTCACTGTTAGCAGTGGTATGATTAAAAACACAAGTTTCCAGTACAAACCCCATCGGGCACACAGTAATGTATTCTGGATGTTGAATCCAACCCACACTCCAGCCAGAAGAATAATTTTCTCTTAGGTTTTATCAGACTACACTTATAATTAACTTTTCATGTTAAGAATAGCTCACCGCAAGATACTCTCTTCACATATGAAGGAGGGCAGCCAGAGCACTGCTTCTGTGAAGCTACAGACTGTGGTAACTTTGACATTTAAAATTCAGCTTGCTCCAATATCATCTCAAAAATTATTTCCCTGAAGTCACACCACTTATATGCCCTTATTCGCCATTATATACAGGCAAGCTCATTTCTCTTGGAAAAGAGCAGGGCCCAGCTCCAGGAAGGGCTGAAGCACACTGCTACCACAAGCAAATTTGCTTTCCTCCCTCCTCTCCTGCCTCAGAGGGCAACCAGAGCCTGGACGTTTTCAGAGCATACCACACGACCCACCTGTGATAGTGATGCACAATTACCCTTGCAGGGGGTCCCGGGGACCAGGACATAATGGTTTGGTGAAATTCAAGAATGATGCAGACCTTTTCCTCCGCATTGCTACCGGATGCTGCACGGGGTCCTGGGCGCAGGGTAGTGCAGGGGTTTATTGGCGGCGCTGCTTGGGGTCCTGTGCTGCAGGTGTGGGGATTTATTGGCAGCACTGCATGGGGTCCTAGGTCCAGGTGTGGGGCGGTGCAGGGGTTTATTGCCTGCAGCTGCATACATCAGGCCCTTGCTCAGAGCTGGTTTGGGATCATGCAAACACCAGCAACTTCTCCTGCTTTGTGCAGTGCAGCTACAGTGCTTTGGAGCCCTCGGATGCCAGGGGATCCTCTGTGGCTTGTTTGCTGCAGGCCACACTGAGCCTTTGGGAGAGGGTGGGATGCGACTCTGAACTCAAGGGAAGACCCACTTACCTGGGAGCAGCTCTCAGTCTCAAGGGGGTCTCTGGGCTGCAGCGGGAACCAGGGCTGCTTCTGGCTGTACTCTGCTCTGGCTTGGTGCAGCACAGGAAGGGCTTGTAGCCCCCCAGACCCCAGGTACAGGTCAGCCCAGCTGTGCTCCCTTCGAGGGGGAGGCAGTTCTTCCAGGAGTCCCGTACCCTAGAGTGAGTCTCCCACCATCAGCCAAACTGAATTTGGGCAGCCTTGCACAAAGGGGCTTGGGGCTGAGCGCTGGGCTTACTCTTCAGTTCTTGGGCTGACCCTAAACGACAGGCTGGGCCCTCACGTAGCTGTATGCACCATACAGGACCCAGCGCTGCTTGGAGGCAGAGAAGGGGCGTTCGGAAACGTGACCTCTGGTTAATTCCCCATGCCAAGGGGAAGGCAGATAATGGTGAGTTCCCCGTTATTAGGAGTTGAGAACGGGGAACGGGCAAGCACTGGAGTAGAGGAACCATGGTGAACTAAGTCACAGTAGCGAGTTATCCATGCTCACCTGGACAGGAGCATGGCAGCACTAGTTTGCTGCCGATTTCCATCTCGTTTCAGCCAGCAATAAACACAACAGGAAGAGATGTGAGGCCCACACCAAGGGGAAGCCCAGACAAATGCAGGCATCCATCCCTTAGCATGGGGGATGTGCCCCCCAGGCCCGTCACAGGTAAACAGCACCGGAGCACAGACTGCAGAGACAGGACTATACGTTTATCTACAAAACCCAAAAGACACTTAAACAGAAAGCACACAGTAACTGGGAGACCGTGCCCCACCTAGGCAGCGCCAAGGGCACGGCGAGGACAGGGACTCTGCAGGTCTGACTGAGCCCAGGCCCCGCATCCGCCCGAACCCCTGCACCTCCGTGCTGGATGCAGACGAGCATCCTGCCGGGCCCAGCTGCTGTGACGTCACCGGGATTGGGCTGCGCCCCGCCAAGGGCCCCGGCTGCACCCTGCGCAGCTGTGGGGTGCGGGCACCAGGACCCCCGAGCCGCTGGCGCAAGGACAGACAGACAAATGCAGGCTCCAGGGGTGACTCCCTTTATTCCAGAGAAAGGGACAGCACGGCAGGTATGTGGGCTCTGGGGCAGGGGCGAGTCCGCAGTGGGGTCCTACCCCTCCACACGTGCGGGTGTGGGAAGGCGCGGGGTGTGCGGGCAGGGCACCAGGCATTGCAGGGAGCTGGGGGTGCTGGGGGTGCAGAGCACCAGCATGGGGCTTGGGGGGATAGCACATGGGGGGGTTCACAGCTGCGGGCAGGGCATGGGGGTCTGGAGCCACAGGATGTAGGGCACTAGCTATGGGCAGGTCACGGGATGGGGGTGCATTGGAGGTGAAGTCCTTCTTGAGGGGAAGGGGCCCAGATCTGGAATCTGGGGGGGGGGTCCTGCCGTCCAGGACAGGCTCCTGGTCCTCCTGGGGGAAGAGCTCGCTGACGTGGCAGATGCTTTCACTGTAGCTGAGCGTGAAGCTCTCCACCATGTCCTTTGGGACGCCGGCCCACTCCTGCAGGACACACCAGGGTGTGATGACGTCGAGACAGGAGCTGAGGTCCAGCCAGAACGTGACCCCTCACCCAAACGTTATCTGAGCCCCAAACCCAGCTCCTTATTCAAGCTCACGGCTTGGGCATGGGGGGCTGTCAGCTGGCAGTCTGGCACGGCCAAGCCGCGCTTTCAGCCGAGCGAGACTCCGGTCAGAGATGTCCAGGAGAGCCCCCGGTGCCGCACAGTCATGGCGTGGGGTGGCCCAGAAAGGATTTCTAGCTATAATCCCAGCCCAAAAACCATGCGCTCGGTATAGTCGGCAATTGGGGACAGTCAGTTGGCAGCCTGGCACGAACGAGCCGTGCTTTGGGCCGGGCAGGACTGTGGTCCGTGGCATCGAGAGGAAGTTTGGGTGGCCCATGAAGTATTTTACCCCATAATCCCATCCTAATCTGACCTTCATTTAGGGCTCTGTACTTGATGCGGGACACTCTTTTACATATGAATTACTACATATGCACAGCTAATGAGATCCTCTCTCTTTAGGATGTGCATTTCATGAATAACAAACTTTTATTGGGTCTAGATTAGCTCTGAAAAAGGAGCTAGCCACCGGGAATAAGGAGCTACAAATAAGGACCCAACTTCAGCCTCATGCCTGCGGCCGAGCCGTGACCCGCGGGCCCGGCCCGGAGCTTCCCGCTGCCTTGGCCGTGCTGGTGCTGGGCGGCCGGGCGGCCCGGCACAAGGTCACTGCCAGACTGCTCCCTCGAGCCGCGGGGTGAGGTCGCCCCGGGAAGGCGCTGCTCGCCACCGGGCCCCAGCGGGCTCCGGGCTGGACCCGCCTCGCGGCCGTGACTCAGCGCTTCCCGTTTCACACCAGTTATTTAAACAAAGGTTTTGTCGACACCCAATTTTAATTCTTCCTGAGCGGAATTAGAACTGTGCCAAACAGCAAAAAGCCGATTGTATTGAAGTGGGCAGGAAACAGGTTTCCTTGCCAGCTGGCAGGAAAGAGGGCCGTTTTGCAGCAATCCACCTTTTTTCTTTCTGCAAAGTGGACCTTTAGTTCGTTCCAATGCTTTCCTGTAAAGCGATGCGGCAGATACTGCCACGGGTCAGGACTCGAGCTCCGACAAGAGCCGTGCTGGGCTGTGCAGGGCCATCCAGGTTTCGGTCTCTGAAAGGCTGGCCATTGGGAAGGTCAGCGAGATAAGTGAGAGCACAGTCTAATGAGAGCCAACAAGAAAATACCCTGATTAAAAGCTACCGTTCTTTCTTGTGGATGAAACACTAAAAAAGAGGCAGTTTTCCTGCCAATTCTTTTCAAAAGGAATTGTTATTGTTTTGCAAACAAGCAGGTTGGGTTGTTTTTTGTTTTTTGTTTTTTTTGGGGGGGGGGGGGGGGTGTTGCCAAAAAATTCATTGTTCTATGTTTTTAAAAGCCTGAGTTAAGTGACCATCCTTAAAGCTTTTAACCATCCCAGCTAGTGACCTCCAAAATCCAGGGAAATCCAGTTCCCACCCAAAGCATGTTTAAACAAAGTGAAGGTTTTGCAGAACTCGACAAAAGCAAGACACTTGCACATTTGCAATGTCTTGGATGCATCGCTTCACGGCTCCGTATCCGGGCAGGGAAGGATGTTTGGTATCGTGCGTGTGGCAGTATTTAAACCATTGTGTGCGTGTGCGTGTGCACTAAGCAAACAGACACACGCCGGGAAAGATCTCCTAGTTGCTGTGATAGCATCTGTGCAGCTCGCGCTTACATTCAGCAACGGTTTTAATTAATATGCTCGTATGTCGGTGTTGATGCGATTCGATCCCCTTTTTATTCTGAACGTTGTCATTTACTTCCCTCACTCGCTTTTTTAAACGTGAAAAAGAAACAGAGGCAGAGCAGAAAGAACAAGGAGAAACAAGTGGATAATTCTGTAGAAACCAAGTTAGACGTGGGGATGGTTTTGATGGCTATCGCAGCGAAGTGGAAAACCTGCTGGCAGCACGACTCTGCGACAGCCAACAACTGTCAGGACAGTGGGTCCGGCAACATCAAGCAAGATGACGTGCCGTCGCCCGCGCCAGCACGGTCAAGAAGGCAGCCAGGCTGCATCGCTGCATTTACAGCCGGCGAGGCTTGCACGGCTAGCGCAGCCGCAGTCTGCTCGCAGAAGCCCGACGGGAGAGGTACAGCCGGCGATAAGAGACCTCACTGAGGAAACTACTAAATGCAAAGTCAGTTTGGGAGGTTGTTCTCCTTTCTGTGCGGCTTAAGTCTTGCATCCATGTGACAGGCTTTGAACAACCGTCAAATGAGGCACTGAAAATCAGATCGTCCCACAGAAAGAGACCTGTGCTCATGTGTGGCCTCTCGCACACTGCGCAGCAGAGCCGGGCCTCATCGTCTTGTGCGGAGGAGGAACAAGACGACCTTGCACCGCGAGAAGGACTTGCTCCAGGCTCTGCTAAGCAGGGAGCTGAACTCCTGTTTCCCAGGTCCTCAGCTAGTGTTGCAAGTACGACACCAGCCCCTGGCATGGCTTTTGTAGGAGATGCCAGAACATCCCGTACCATTCTCGTGACCCTGCTTCAGACAGCCCAGAACAAGGCTAAGTGCTTCGGCTCCCTCTGTGCCACCGGCACATCCCCACCTGGGCAGCTAAAGTCCACGTACTTCCATATCTGCAGCAGTTGTGCTGCAAAACCACCAGCTAGTCCACCAACTACTCGCCCATCCCCAAGGGTAAGAGGCCACAGAGATCCCTTATTCTTCATCTTCTAACCTCTCCAACATGCTACTGACAACTTAGACTGCCATTTTTCAGCTCCCAACCCATGAGGTTCCCACCCAAAATCTCTAGGGAGAATGCCTTTTAAAGCGTAATTGCACGAGGAGGTGTCGTTACACACGCCTGCTTAACTGCAGACGATCTACCCCAAAGGCGGGTACTGCATTAGGCTACTTGAGGAGAACACAAAGCTAAGCCTGCCCTAGGCACCCCCAGTGTAATAGGTTCCCTAGATATAGCCCCATCCTTGAAACGATGCATCACCATAGCAGCACGGGCACCGAGCCGGCCTCTCTCAAGGTCCTCCGCAGAGTCGGCTGTTCGGAGAACACAAGACAAGACAATTCCCTTGCACCATCATGTCTTTATCTTCAGAAAAGAGAAAA